GGCTTGGCTGGTGCGGCCGGTGGGCCAGCCCCCTCCCGGACAGCGGGCTGTGCAAGGCGGGGCAGGGGGGTGACACTGAGCACCGGAGGCCCCGCCCTCTCCAGGGGACCGATGCCTTCGACTACCTGAGGACGGGACGTGCCGAACAGATGATCCATGTTTTTCTTTATATACCTGCATATGTTTTTTACTGTTGCGATAATATATGCAATTTTTTTTCATTCTGGGGAAAAAGTGCTTGTGAGGGTGTGTCTATGAAGGGACAGTGTGCCTGTGAGGGTATGTGTAAATAACTGCGCGTGAGAGAGGTGGGAGCGGGCTGGGGGAGAGGGAGGGTGAGTGTGTGTGTGTGTATGTGTGTGTGTGAAGGTGTACAGGCAAAGCGATACGCTGTGTTTGTGCCTGTCTGTGGAATAGGCATGTTAATGAGTGTATGTGCATGTGACACGCAGCCATGAGGTGTGTGTGAGTTTGTGAGAGCACATGTGGGAGCGTGCAAGTGGATCTGAGGCTGTGTGTGTAAGGGGTGTGTACGTGTGGGGTTGTATGTGAATAAGTGTGTTCAGACGCAAGAGATGGGAGTGCGGTATGCGGGAGGACGTGTTTGTGATAGAATATGTGCGCATGAGAGGACGTCAGGTGAATGTGAGCTTGTGTTCGTGTGTAAAGGGGATGTGTGTGCGTTTAAGGATGTTCTTGCTAGTAGTGTGTGGGAGGGGATGTGTGTGTGTGAGTGTGAGTACTTATGGGGGTGAAGACCAGGAGAGGGATGTGAGATGAGTGTGAGTGAGTGAAGAGATGGGGGAGTGAGGTGATACGCGTGAAGGGACCCATGTGTATTAGTATGTGTGCGTGTGAGCACACAGGTGAGTGCGTTTGTATACATCTGTATACCTGGGACTAGAAATATGTCCTTCTAGGAAAAAAGAAATACTGAAAGAAAATACACTAAGAATGTTTATAATAGTAATCTTTGGTATTGGAGAAAAGAAGAGAATTTTATTTTCTTGTTTTGTTATTGGGTAGTCAGAAAAAAATGAACATTTCAGTCTGTTTTCTTCATTCCAAGAACACATGAAAAATATTGTACCTTCCTATAAAAATAATAAAAATCTTGACTAGTAAATGTTTTTTAATAGGAAGCTGTTTGAAAATTGAAATCTCCCTTTTTAATATATAACCTAATAGGTATGTAAGTTAAGTCCCTGGTTAATCAGTAGAAGGAAATCTTGACTTTAAATTTCAGAACCATATAAATGTTTAATTTTTCATGTAATTTCATTCATTTCTAGGTATTCAGTAATTGAAACTAATCGTTACTGTTGCTTGCAAGCCAAGGCCCTGATGGTTCTGCATTAATGAATCGGTGAAACTAATGCAATGTCCCATTCATTTCACACTGTTTCAGGGAGCGAAGGGGCTTTCGGTTTTCCTAAGTCGCTGAGCTTATACATCAGACATTAACAGGGATTATCAGTGATGGAGGGGCTTGGATAATTACTATTTTTTTCTTTTAGTTTTGTGGGGGGGGGGTTACTTTTTTTATAGGGCTTATATAATAAAGTTTCTCAAAGTGATTTAAATGGAGAGTTTTTTTCCTAAGTAGATGAAAGCACTGAATTCTCCCACTGAGACTGCACTTCCTCTGCACTTGCCTCTTCCCACTAATAATGAAACATGAGACATTCCCTATTCCGGGCTACATTTTAGTAAAAGAAAGTTTGTGGCCGTAAATGGCTGAAGTCTATTTTTAGCCTAATTGGAGCTTGTCTGTGTTCTGAAAGCGATTTGCTCTCATCCACATCAGGTCTCGGCAGCCCGGTTTATTTGGCATTGTCACCCGAGGGCTCCACTGTCTGCATGTAATGAGTATTAGTTGTTTGGAATCCTGGATAACTATTTTACTTTTATGTGGATAGATAACAATGTATTGTTATCTGCATTGTTATTGTAAAAACAATAAAAAAGGGGGTTCTGTATATCATATCCTTTCTTTACACTTAGAAAACGACCTCAGCTATTAAAATGTGAACAGAGCAAACTCTATGTTTGGCTGGACCCTAGACGGTCATGCTTGCAGAACATATATCTCTGAACCGCCGAGGAGCACTCAAACCCAGGAATGCTTTTACTGTCTGATGAGTGCTTTGCCACATCTAACAGATTTACTTCTTACATTACTTGGAACCACTAGTCAACTGTTGAAAGAAACAACCTTACAACCAATTCTGACCCAAAGAAAGCACCGCCCACTTCACTCCGCCACATGAGACCACTGCTGTAGGTCGGTGAACACTTTATTTTCCCACTTGAACTTGAGCTCCTCGGAGAGATCGCTCCTGCCGATCTTGCGGAGATGACGGGCCAGAAGGCGGAGTTTATCAGTGGAATTTGGGAGTGACTTTTTCCAGAAGCAAAGAAGTTCGTGGATCTGTTCTGTGAGGTCATCTGGGCTCTTCAGTTTGATGAGCTGAATGGTGCTGCGGCGAAGAGGGAGGGACGAGCAGAGACACGTGGTGTTTTCTTCCGAGAGCTCCTCTGCCAACCAGTAGAGCAAGTTTTCCCACAGGGCTTCTGCCAGGACATGGGGAACACTCAGTATTAGGGCTCTTTCCTGGGGGATGAGCTCATCTAACCTCCATACCTGTCCACAGGCGATCTCGGTGCTCTCTGGCTGGTCCTCTGAGCAGCAAAAAGATTTGGGACCACCCAGTGGACCCTTGAGGGCCTTTGAATTTCTGGGGTCTTCTCCTGAGGAAACACCTATTGCAGAGGGCTGGAAATGCCTCTCAGATTTAACTTCCTCCAGAGCCAGAAGGGCTTGTGGTTTGTAGGCCCTGCTCCAGAGAGTCTACTTAACTAGGACTAGGGTGGGGGCAACACTTGGCATTTTAATAAGCTCCCAACCCTACTTTAAGTAGCACTTATGGTAAAGGATATTTTTAGGTTCAAAAAATACTTTCCTTAATCAATACTAATCTGATACATAAATGATACGAGCAGCTAGATAATTCTCAACACCCCCACCACAGACACCCACAAACTCACCGAGGTCCACTACCCAAAGAGCAGTTCCATGGAAGGTTCCTCACAGCAACATTTCCCCGGCCTCCGGATTAGCACTTAGAACCACAAACATCTCCTCTGAACATATCCTGTGTGTTTCACACCCCTCTTCCCTGACCCTGTGGCCCCCTTCTACCACCTAAACTCATGATTCATTTTTCTGTTGTTACTTTCTTCATGGGGTAACAGACCCATCACTCTCGGTAAAGCCCCCACCCCTGCTATGTGTGTCCTCCACCTACCAGCACTGGCCTGCATCACAGTCGCTTCTTCCCACTCGCATGCTCCCCCCACACCATTTTCCCTGGTCAAGTGTGAGCAGAGAAGACCACGTTTTACTCAAGTATTCCTTCCACCTACCTGCTCACACAAACGCACCTGATTTTACACTATGAATTGTTCCCCTTTTCTGTGAAGGCCACTCAGGAAACGAAGTCAACACACCCTTGCTCTCCACTGTCCCTTTCAAGCCGACGTCTGCTCCCCTCACGCGGTGTATCGGTTTTGACGTCTGTGCTACACGGTGGCCCTGCCTCTCCCTGGCCTGCTGCCATCGGCAGGCAGAATCATCAGCAGCTGTGCCGGTCATCAGGAAGGTCACTGACGCCTAGACCCTTCCTCTTGTCAACATCAATGGCCTGTGTGTGACTCCGTACTAGAAACGGACTGTGGTGGCCAATTCTCATGTGTCATCGTCAACCAGAACCACTCCACCTCCGTGGCCTCCGCTTCTCGATGTCACCGCCCAGCAGCGCCTCCTGAACTTCCACAGCCTCTGCCCTGCCTCAGTCTCCTTGCCCAGCGCTGCTGATACAGTCAGTCGTTCCTTTGATACCCCCGTCATTCCGTCCGGCCTACTGCTAACGACCAGCTGTGCCCATCGAGGGAGGTCTTGCACCTTCCCTAACGTCTGCTGTCCCCTTAGCTCTGCTTGTCCTCATGTCGTCAGTCCCCAGCTCGGCTGGACTCACACTGCGTTCACCCACCGCGCCTCCCAGGGCTGCGGACCTGTGCTCAATGTGATCCATAAACTCTATGTTTCCCCCCACCTGAGCCCTTAGCTGCTTGCAGATCCACTAAAAAATCTTTTTCCTGAACTCAATTTAAAATTTCCCAGAGCAATGGCCCAAATCTCTTCTACCATCCTTAAGCCCAAAACTCACTCCTTCCGTTTCCCTCGGCCAATGTCTGTTTCTCCTACTTTCCCCACAGCCATTTGACCTGAGTTCTCATAGCCTTGTTTTCATTTCAAAATCATTTTCTTACAAAATCTCCCTCCCCCATGTTTGTCAGCGTCCACCCCCACGGTGTTCTCGTCGAGTAATTCCCCTCACACCTGTTGCTTAACCTCCTGGCCACAGGCTCTTCCCATGCTCCCTACAAACACTCTGGGGCCTCCTCTCTCTGCTCCTGCCCCTCTGTCAAGCCACTGAGCTCTCTCTCTCTTCCCTTACCGTAAAATCTTTTATGGGTTTTTTTTTCAGAGCTAAAGGACAAGGAACTTTATTTGGTTACCATTTCTTTTTCTTTTACTTTCAATCTTATTTTGTGTTGATTTCCAGTGTACAGCATAGTGGTTAGACAATCATATGCTTTACAAAGTGTCCCCCACCTCCCGATATTCCCAGTCCCCACCTGGCACCATTCACAGCTATCACAATATTGTTGGCTCTCTTTCCTATGCTGTGGTTTTTCTTGAGATTGTATAAGATTCTGCCATAAAATCTTTTAATGCCCAATGTAAACTCAATGCCTCGAGTTCATCACTGCCAACTCACTCCTTAAACCCTTGGGTTAGGGATTCTGTACCCTCTTTTAAAACACTACTGAAGCCTTTCCAGTCTTCCCAGAGCCCTCTAATTACTCCTCACAACAGCTGATTCCCAGCCTGAGCCGTCTTCGACCTCAAGAGGCATTTTACCCCTTCCCTTGGGCTCCCCCTCCTGCCACATGCCCCTTTCCTCTTGGCCGAGTCTCTTCCTCGCGATGCTGCTGAATCACCGCTTCCTAGCTCGGGCCTCTTCTCTCTCCATCCTGCCTCCCCAGTGAATTCATCAGCTCCTCCTGCCTTACCCTCTCCTCTTGGTGAAACAGCCCAGATCTACTACATCTTCACCCGTGGCTTTGTTTTCCTAGACCCTGGTGCCGCATCGGCAATATTCATCTCCTAATTGTCTTGGCCAGTGTATAGCACAGCCAATTCGAACTCTGTAGGTCTCAAATCAAAACCAACTTTGGCCCTTCCCTCTCTCCACGTGATCCTTCATTCTATCAGCTTTTTTAGTGCATGTGACCACTCAGTTGAGTAAGCTAAAACATGTAATATTATGCATATGTCTCAAAGCCTATTTCTTTTCACCTGTACCCAAGTCCTGTTGGTCCTAACTCTAAACATGTCTCAGGTATTTTCCCCACTTTCCAGCCTTAACTGACTCACCCTTTGTCATGACCCACCTCTTTTCTGGAGAATTTCGGGAACCAGAACTCTAATTCCTATCCCTGCTAACAGTTTTGACTAACTTTAGTCTTGCACACAATAAAGAGAAGTTTTCAGTCTAATCCGATCTTATTTGTTTTCTGTTAATAAATCTCTTATATTGTCTAAACAGCTCAACTTAGTGTTTAAAGGTTTTTACAGTTTAATCTTGCTCTAACCTCACCTGCCATCACCTTCCTGCAGCAGCTTGGATGGCACTGGTCGTGCAAGACCATATCGTGTGACAACCTAGCACTTCTCGGTGCACGTAGGGAAGATCGGGATACCCTGTGCTCTCCAATGGTTGTGACAACGGTCATGAACATCACATTCTTCAAAAGTTAACATATTTGCTGGGCTTTCATCTACTGCTGTTGTTTTGGTTTGGTTTCGTTTCTTGTTTTTGGGGGAAGGGGGTTGGCTTTCATGGTTTTCGTTTTGTTTTTGCTCTATCACCTGTTCTCTCTTAGAAAACAGTTTTAGTGTCTCTGAGAGGATATATAACACTACAGTTTATTCCCATCCTACTTTCTTCTAAAGAAATTCAATAAAGCCTGCACATTTTCTATACAAATCCACAAAGCTAACCCCTGAAAGGAATGCTTTGCCATCAGTGGTGGGTCTGACACAGAAGCAAAACACAATCACTTATGTCTTCTGGAGACCAGTAAATTATCTCAGTAGTAACTATTAACATCAAAAATGAATTGTTTCAAAGGATAAAATAGGATAAAAGCGTCAAATTGTACCCTGAAACCTGCATCATTGTTATGTAATTGATTTATGCATAACTACAATCAAATAGCACAGGTTCCCATTGTGGTTTCATGCAAATATACCTCCATTTGAAGTCTGTTGCCCTCAAATGTAAATTTGAAGTGACCACAGATGAAGACTCACAATTAATAGCATTTCAGAACAAACTGCAGTGGTCTACTTACCAAATTAAGCAATTACTAGTTATCTTAGTAAAATAACCCTTAGTAGGCTTCATATTTCTTATAGATTTTAACAAATTTTAATTATGTCTACATTCAAATATGCTTTGATTTAAATGTGCATGATTTCCAAAGGAAAACATTTATTGGGCTGATAAACCTAATGATTGTTTAACTGCAAAGTTCTTTTTTCTTTTTTATAAAAGAATTCACATAAAATATAAAATATAAGAAAAAAGCACCTCTGTAGTGAGAGCACTCTTACCTGTTGGATCTGTAGAAATTCTTTTGGTACTCTGTGGCCGGTTGAGTAATTTTTCATGCTATTGGGGGAAAGAGACACAGACTAAGTAAAATAAGTCATTAATTTGTAAACAAGCTACAAATAAAAATCCATCTGAACCTCACCCCTGTTTGAAAGAAGCATTGAATTGCATACCTTGCAAATTAGATTGTGTATTAGGGCATGCATGCTCAGCAATTGCTTTCCTGAGATAAGGCAAAATACCCAAATCTTTCAGAAAATTCAAATTTAAGAATATGCATTTAGCCTTGGCCTGTGTGGCTCAGTTGGTTGAGCATTGTCCTGTGCACCGAAAGGTTACTGGTTGAATTCCTAGTCAGGGCACATGCCCAGGTTGTGGACTCAGTCCCCAGTAGGGGGCGTGCAGGAGGTAGCCTATCAATTTTTTTGTTCTCACTCTCCTGTTTTTTCTCTCTCTCTCTCTCTAAATCAATAACAAAATTTTTTTTTTCAAAGAATACACATTTAAATATTATTATAGCAGTCACATTACCTATGAGTAGACATTTTTCCAACTATAATTTAAAACTATTAAAACCAGCAGACATAGCACAAGCTACCTCTATGCTAGAAACAAAGTATTTTGGAAATGCCTTCATGGGGCAGGCACCTGCTTCAATACACAGCACAGAGCCTGGCACCTAATCGCACTAAAACAGTAGTTTTAGTGAATAAATGAGTGAATCAGTGTGCATACAGGATACTGAAAACAATCAAGTCTTTGAGCAGATATTATTCTAAAGCCAATATTTTACAAGATGTAATCAAATACATAATCATCACTCTTCTACGCTGTCTGCAGAACAGTTTGTTCTCATTGAATCCAGGATCATTGGAAACGGCACAGGAAATAAAGTAAAAACACCTGGGTTTGGAAACCTGTTCTGTGCTCCAGACACTTTATCTCCTCCATCTCAGCTCTGAAATGTGATTTATATTTTTTGGATAACACACATCACAAAAATCTGTACACAAAAGCTCATAGCAGCTTTACTTGTAATAACCAAAAAACTGAAAACAGCTAACATTTTCTGCAGTAGGTGAAGGAAGTATGGCACATTCACACGATGGGATGCTGTTCAGTGATAAAAAGGACCCGCCACTGATACGTGCAACAACTTGCATGGGCCTCAGGGAACTATGATGAGTGAAAAGGTCACCCACTGCATGGTTCCATTTACATGACATTCCTGAAATTACAGACTTTTAAAGATGTAGAACAGATGAATGATTGCCAGGCATTAGGGATGGGGGGGATGACCGTAAGTGGTAGCACAAGGGAGATCTTCCTGATGATAGCATCGCTCCACATCTTGAGTGCAGTGGTTCTACAAATCTCACGTGTGATAAAATGACACAGAGGTTTGCACACACATTACACCAACGACAACTTCCTGGTTTTTATATCGTACTCTAGTTAAGTAAGATGTAACCACTGAGGAAAGAGGGGTGAAGACTATGCGGGATCTCTCTGTACTATTTTTCTTTTTTTGCAACTTTCTGTGAAACTATAATTATTTCAAATTTTTTTAAAAGCCTACTTTACAGCAATGATATAAGAAGGATATGAATTCTCTATGCTGATAAGTAGGACACTGTCTAAATCATAATGAGCATTCAATACAAATTGATTAAATCTGAATAGAATTTTGTAGGTATTCTTGTCATAGGTATTACAGAAACATGCATATAAATTTCCATTAAGAAGATTCAATGGGAGACAACTAAGAAACAACATAAGAATAGCCCGAGTTCAAATATACTAGCACTGCAGCGCCGCAAAATAAGTGCATAGAATTTCCAAGACATCAACAATGTGCTTAAAGCTCTCAAAAAAATGACAGAAATACCACTTTATATAGTGCAACAAATTCTATCATTCCCATCGAAGGGCATATGGACTGGATTGAGTCCAGGACAAGAGATACACATTGTGTTTTTTCTTTTCTTCACATAAGTTATTCCCCACTCAGTCATTTTTTTCTTTAGAGATGTCTCATAGCATCTTAATGCATTCAGAGTGATTCTAGTATTTAAATATATGCATTTTTTTGCATGCATGAGAATTCGAGCCAAGTCCAGCACACAACCATGGAAGCAGTGGAATGAGTCAGAGCAGCTCAGGAATCCCCGGCGCTTTTAGACCCCCAGGCACTATGCTGGCCTCACACATAACCTCTTCATCAGGGATGTTCTACGACCCTTCCCTGTCCCTTATTTTTTCTTGTATTGCTGGATTTTTTTTTCTGTGCATTATTTTTGCCTTGCACACTACTTTTTAAATCTCACTGGTGCTCAGGGTGAGCTTCAAGCCAAACTAGGCAGCTTTGCTTGTCCTATGTCTTACCCCTCCCACAGATTCCAAATGTCTACATGTGGTCCCCTGGATGACTTCCTTGGTGGGACCAGCTCTAATAATTCCTCACTCTCTCTCCCAATCAAAAGGTGTGATTCTGTTGTATCTTCTTGAGTTCTACTCTTTGCTAAAGGAAGGTTTGTTATTTCTCTGAGGTAACCTGCTCTTACATTGATGCTCCTCACAATTTTACACATATTTTAAAGCTCTAAGCGGAAATAATGACATAAAATTATATCTTTGAATCCCGTAGCAATATTCTATTTTAATTTGTAACTTGGGCACTTACTAATTCCAAGGACATCCACAATAATACTATTGCCATTTAGCAGATACAGAAATAATAAGTGGTAGTGCTTTCCTCTTTAATTTCTACTTGCCTGCAATGCTTCGGGGTCTCCTGCAGAGCCCGCATTTGTGCAGCAACATGCTAAGGACTTTTTGACCCTGGAAGCTCTGTTGAACATGGATGCCACAGAGCAGGACAGCTGAATGTCGGTGCAATGCAGCCGGCAATAACAAACATGTCATGCTGATGTTACTATTTCTCATCATTTACCCCGAGGCACTTATGCATGAAGTGATTTCACAAGTAATTATTATAATATCATGCGGCAACCACTCCTCCATGCAGCCTTAACCCCCACATTCTCCCCCCCACACACACTTAGTGTAGATTTTCCTGGTAAATAGGTCATTTCTTTTGTAGTTAGATGATATACGAGTGAAAGTGGTATGAATAATACTAGGCCAAGGAAGTGTATGTAATCAGTATATTTCTGTGGATCTTCAGCATGGATTTTACCCTAAGCCTTTTAGAGACCATGACTAAGGACCGGTTTTCACTGCTTACTATATTCTGTATTTGTTTAGCATAGAGGCCTCTTCAACTAAGTAATAGTTGCTGTTTGCTTAACTTGAGTTCATCTATTGTGTCATAATAGTAAACATTTATATTCTCAATCTTTGTAATGTACAAATCCTATAGAATCCCATTGTAAATAAGTTAGAATATTGATCAAAGAAGTAATCTGGCCAAAAGATTAATGTCAGCATAAGAAGCTTGTGCTGCAGTCATGGGTTCAACTTGACTAGAAAGCAAATAAAAGTTTGCATCAGTGTTGTGTGAGGACAAACTGGTGTGAACTGGGCTGAACTTCTGGTTTCCAGCAGGGCGTATAAGAAGCTGGAAGTTGGCATTCTGTCCTAACAAGCAAAAAGCTGAACCAACTGAAAAATATCAACTCTCTTTATATCTGTGAGAGAAGTAAGGTCACAGGGCAAACCTCTGCCCCAAATTGGGAAAGACTGACCTGTGAATACAGAGAATCGTAACTTTCCAGAGCAGAAACCCCCAAGCACTGGCCAAGCAGGGACTAGGGTGGGAAGCCTGAGCTCTAACTGACAAATCGCTGGGGGCTCAGGGTCCGTGCACGTCTGGGAGTTAACACTCCGGGGGACCCAGTCAAGGACGCTCCCCCACCTCTGTGAGCTCACCCATGGGAGCTCAGCTAGATCCTCATGGTGAATATATGAAGAACATTCCCTTGTGGTCTGGCAGGTCTGGGAGAGGGCGAAAGGAACCATTCTAAAATATACCAGGGCATTCTGTTCTCAACAAGGCCTGCCCTCAGAAGAAAGGATTTAACTGAAGCCTCGCCTGCTGGGGGTTTATTAGCACCTGGCTTACCTGGGGGAAGGACAGTCCCCGACTTCAGGGCCTAGATTTGCCAAACACCCTGGAGGGCAAAGGACATGAGAAGCAATGACACGGAGCTAAGAGTGGCAGACTGAAGTGAGCAAGGCTCTGGCTTGCTCGAGGAAGGAGAGAGAGGGACGGCTGCGAAGCCTAGGTCCCAGCGCACAGCCTTTGCCCTGTGCAGTCGTGCAAGTTGAGGCAGGCCATCGAAGTAGTCTTACTAAACCCCAGCTCGGGAAACAGAGACGACGGCCCTGCCTCTGAAGTGTGCTGTGAGGACAGATTGAGATAATGTCTGTAAAGGACGTAACCTACACTGAGAGTTCAACAAACGGTGGCAGAGACACACAAGCCAAATGCAATGTGTGGGCGCTTTTAGGACCCTGTTGTTGTTGTTTTAACAAACTAACCACAAAAAGAAAAAAAAAAAGTAAGGCAGTGAATATAGAACATGACTGAATAGTAGATATTATTAAATAATAATAGCTAATTTTATAGGGTATAGCAATGGTATTGTATGGGGGTTAGTTTTAAGTTCTTACCTCTTGAAGAAACATACAGAATAATTTACAAGTAAAGCGATATAGTAACTGTGATTTGCTTTAAAATTCTCAAACAAACATACCCAGCGGCATTAGATAAAACAAGAATGGCAGGAAATTGTGAATGATGGGTCCATGTAGGTTCATGGTATATTTTCTCCATTTTGTGTGCCTTTGAAAATTTCCACACAAACACACATACCAAAAACAAACAGAAGAAACTTTAAAATAAATTAATTAAAAGAGAGCAGCATCAGTTAATCAATATCCTGTTATTTCCATCATGGATTTATTCTAATTACACACCCATTGTAGAACCTCCTGAAGGCTTAGACAGAAATGCTTGGCCCACACAGTAAAAGGAAGTACTTTTACACAGAGAGATCTGAAGGCCAGAATAAACCCACAGAGAAGTAAGCTTA